CAAGAAACAAACTTTGAAATCATCACCATGAGTAAAAACAATGAAACCCAAATGTCAGGACCATTTTTGTATTGAAGTTCTGCATGTACCACTTTAAATCTAGGACGTGAAAGCCCAATTAATAAGCTTTCTTTTACTACCAGAATCATTACTTGCGTTCTTTTCAAGTTACGGAATTTTGAACACAAACACCGTTTTAAAGTTTTAACAACGGATCACAAAAAAGGTAAGTGTTCTGCAAAACGAAAACTATTCACATGCTTGGATAGGACATACTGCGTACTAGTACTGGTTTGACCGCTTATAGAACACACGACTGATTTTATTCGGATTTCACCATAGATATATAAATAGCAACCGGCGTTAAATGTTGCCTTTTGCTTTAAAATGTTTAAGCATTTTAGTCACAGTGGGGTGTTGTCATTTTACCAAATGTAATCATTGGCCATGCATAATTGATAATGGCAAACAGGTACATCAAAATACACTAGTTATTAATTTGTTTGAGTCGACAGAGTAGAGGGCCAGTTTGTATGCATTACAAGGATGAGGGATGAGGAAAAAATGAATTTTTCCAAAAAATCATGGCTTGGTGTGATTTTCACTTGATGCCAAGTCCCAGTCCATAGAGTAGCCATCCTGAACGTATTGATGTTATTCTTTAAATATTGTTCACTTTTAATTCAACTTGCTGTTTTCGGTTTGTGATTATGTTCGTGCATGTGAAATAATTGTGGCCAAAAAAAGAAGAAAACAAGCCAATTGGCTCTGCTTTAGTTTTTTTCTTGCTTGCTCCATGGAATTAAAATAACGTAACCGACGTATGTTGTGTGTTTTTGTGCGAGTGTTTGTGTTGTAAATCGAGGACACATATGCTAATCATCATCGAGTAATTGAGGACAGGAGTCAAATCGAGGGCAACCTCGATTAGAAAACTTGCACAAAACCAATAAGAGCTGTTACAAAAAATAATATAAACAAAAGATAGAAGATAAGGAACATTAAACAAATCCTCGATTTTCACTTGAACGAAACTGGCTGTGCAGGAGTTTGTTTTTGCATTCAATAGGGAACGTTTAACTATAAAAGACAATTGTCCTCTATTCCCAAAGGTTCACCATTGACGATTGTGTACAAAACATATTTGATGTCTTCCTAAAGAGTACAAACCAAAGAAGGACAATAGGGGTCAACGACTGAAGGTGTTTACACATCTGCTGTAACCTTGCATACTCTCTGGAAAACAGGGTTAGAGGAATTTTGGGGTGCGGTTTATGTATCGCAAAATGAAGAGGAACACACAAGAAAATCATGATAAAAAATGGGTTAAAAGAGTGTTCAAAGTACGAGTAAAATGACTTTTTGACTGGTTTTTCGAACACAAGAGTGTTCACAGTATGTAAGATGAGCGCTAGTTTATGGTGTTAACCGCAGACACCCACGTGCAACGGCATCGAGGACAGGAATCAAATCGAGGACTCCTCGGTTATTAAACGTGTACAAAACCAATCAGATCTGTTGCAAAAAAAATTGGTGTACAAACAAAGGAAAAGGGAAAAGGAACAAAAGAAAATCCGTGTTAGGCCTTGTGAGTTTATTTTTGAATTCAATAGGGGACGATGAACAATAGAGGACGATAGGGTCCCCAATTCTCGAAGGTCCTCAATTTACAATCGTGTACAAAATATATGGGAGGTCAAAGTTAGAGTGCAAACAAAAGAGGGACAATAGGGGGTCCCCGATTGCAGGCAAATACTCACTAGACTTACCATCTTAATGTGGACCTGACTAAACAAAACAGGTCCACATAATGCAGGTTGTTTGAACCTTGTGTGGACTAAGCCAGGTCCACATAAGGTTTCTCCTCTCTGGAAAACAGGTTTAGAGGCATTTTTGGATTAGGTTTATCCGTCACAAGATGAATAGAAACACTAAAGGTAATCATAGAAAAAAATTGGGTGGAGAGAATTTTCACAGAGTGAGTAAATTATTTTTTTCATTCAGTCATCCTTAACTGTGAAAAAAACAAAGGAATGTCCACATAAGGTATGTAAGGTAGGCCTGTCTGTGGGTGTTTAACTAATTCAGCGAATACAACATGGGAAAAATACTCCTGATGAGGGCTGTCCCCCCCCCAGTACCTGAACCTAAATACCTAAAGATCCTACATACAATGCTTGTTGGTGATTTGTATTTGTAACTTGAGTTGGGAATTTCCATCATGTGATGCGTGGTAAAAGTCGCATCGTAAATGGATTTATGTAAATGATAAACTTATAAACCCCGTCGTGCTTTCAAAGAATGGCTCCCATTTGGATTTCGCACTTTTTTGTGATAAAAAATGAGAAATTAACACGGTTGAAAATACCATATTTGCTTGCACGTACATGTAGTTTGTTTCTTTGAAAAGGCTAAGCATATCGGATTTGTAGGCCGACCAGTTGAGAGAGGGCGTCCTCATTCAATCTTAACAAGAAATTAATCTTTCCATTGTAGAAAAATGACAATTACTGGTGCCTATATGAAGTGCTCGGGAATTTTGTAAGCCCAGTTCGTGATTCCATTTTAAAATAACAATAATTATGTGCAAATACCTTTGGAGAAAAGTATTTTCAATGCGATTCCAATTCTGCCCGTAATGTCGACAATGATAAGAAAAGAACAAACGATAAAGTAACGCTTGTTTCTCCGTTTAAATTTAAAGTCAAGACAACTACACTTCTGATATCGTGATACTGCATGGTGCCCTCTGGCGGTATTATGGGGAAAATAGTGTTCTTCCCAGCGCTATGGAAGCTGTACGCTACTGTTAGCTGCTTTCTTGTGATTGAAAGTGGACTGTGGGAAGGAGGTTGACAGGAACGGACCTTCCTACTTTAACAGCGATGAGCAATCTCGAGTACGACGCAACTCAACTGAACAAATTATTCATTATTTTGTCATTGCAAAGCTGGACATGGGGAATTTCAGTTTGTTTTGTCTCCCACAAGAACAACTTACCAGCCTCACTGGTTACCAATCCCCGATCGTATAATCTATAAACTGACGTTGTTGATTTTAATACAAAGCTCTCAATGGCAAAGCCCCCTCATACATCATGGATATGCTTTAAACTTACACACCCTCCCACAGTCTTCGTTCCAGTAACAGACATTTAATGCATGAGCCAAAATCACACTGTATGTGGGGAGACGGGGCCTTTTATATGGCAGCACCTTGTCTGTGGATTTGGCAAGGTATTCGCATAAAAAACCTCATAAACCAGTACACCCAGTCCTTCACAAAATCTCTCAAAACTCATCTTATGTCAATAGCTTTCATTTAACACTTCTATTGGTTGTTGTCACGCTCTGTTGTTTGCCAGAGTGTCGGCTTTTTGTCTGTTTAATTTGTTTTATGTAAATCTATATTGATTTTGTTTACTTTTTCCCGCCTGTACATTTCTGGCGCTTTGACCTACTTACGGTGGTCATGTTTGTGCTCTGTAAATCTCCTGTATTATTTATTATTTTCCTTAATATAATTACACGAGACATTGCGAAATGTGCGGAATTAAAGCGTAATACGTTCTTGTTATTGTTTTTTTTATTTTTTACATGCTTTCTTTATAGCCATTTTTATTTCACAAACACAAAGACAATCACAAAGCAGCAGCAACATTTTAAATAAAAATTTACAATATTTTTAAAACGTTAACCTCAATGAAACCAAGTTGGCTGCCTATTAGCTTCTCTTTACGACAATTTGGCAGCAAGTTAGTTTCAAACGGCACGGATAATATTTGGAATTATTCGTTTTTTTGTTAAAGTTACCTGCATTTTCGCCATCCACATAAACTAGTATTCAACTTTATATGACCCCGAAATAATGGTATTTGGAGTAATCTGTTATACCTGCACACCCTTTGCAATAAAGTATGGAAATGATAAACTTGTGACAAGGTATTGTCTAACACTGTACTAACATTATTACACTTAGATGTATACAAGTATATCGATTTGATTATGTCCTCTTTCGAACACAGTAATTAAAATGTTCATTAAGTGTTACATTACCGTAACAACACACTATACATCTCACACCAAACTGTACACCTAAATGATTGTACGATGATTTGATGTCGTGAATTAAATTTTCTTATATATACAGCAACAAAAATATAATAATACAAAAATTTATGATATGCTTATATGTTTAAGGCAAAGGCTACATTTAACGTCGGTTCATGCTACAGGCGATAACTAACTTAACGCAAATTTATGAAGTTTTCGCACTGCGAGTTCGCAACACTTGAACACATTTTCAACCCGGGCGAATTTCACATCGAATGTTTCCTGACGTAAAATGCGCTCCAATATCTCATTCGCGTGAAATATGAACCGGCCCTACTCAAAACACATTTAATACTAAAAAAAGAAAAAAGAAAGAAATTAATTGGCGGTTAGTCTTACCAAATTGTATGTTTTTGAGCATATATTTTTTTGTCAATTATGGATTACGTTAAATTTTTTTTATAGAGTTATTTATTTTGAGCACAATATTGAAGCGATTTAAGATTTACGACGGCAGCACACTGAGCACCTTCTAATTATAAGTTTGATTTATGCAACAAAGAACCGCAATAGGTTCTATTTAGAGCAATAGTAAACCAAAAAAGCCTCACAGATACTCAAAGATATACAACGATCAGTTTAGTAAACACAGCCTTCGTTTTCCGTTTTTGGGAGGTGATTGTTGCTGTTAGATATATGAACACCGTTCAAAATTCCGATATGTTTTGGAAACTGCATTTCATGAAGGAATTACCCTGATGCGTTTTCACATTTTCATGTTTTCACAACGCTGTGTTCTTGCTTTCTGATAAAATGTTCCTCCTACCAAATGCAAGTATTGTATTTATATAATCAGTCCAAATATCATCTACTTGTACCACGTATTTTGGTATTGAATGAAGTTTTGTCAGTGCTGTCGAACAGAATCACCTGGATGCTTCAGCTGAATTAATCACGACGACATCCAAGCAGCTCCAAGCGCAGATTACACCAAGTGTGACATTGAGTAGGCTCAATGCGCACTACCGTCGCCACCACACTCTCATCAAACAGGTTAGTGACCGGGGTTTGGTAATCAGTATTACTGATGAACACCTGAAACCAAAACAATTACATTCCGCGTCATCAATAATACCATTCGTCGAAATACCATTTTTCTCCTTAACAAGAACTTGAATTAACCGCATATACATCTAACCTCAGTTCCGGGATCATTTTTAAGGTAAATGTATACCTCGTATTGTATTCGACCTTGATTTTCTATTTCAATTAGAAAACCAAGTTTTGTCGTTGATAAAAGGTCATTTGTATTTCAACAAGGGCTAATTTCGTCATGTTTAACCTTCTTAGAAGAGAATGTAGCATGATATATGAATTTGTTTCACTGATTGTTTTATAAAATAGTTTGTGTGTTATCATGGAATCAAACAAAGTCGTACAGAATTAAGTTATCAAGGAACAGCAAACAGTCTGACGTATCACAACAACAATTATATGAAATTTCGAAGATAAATACAAGTCTGTATCAAGTTAAGGTTGATATTTACCTTGATGTTTCCGTTGTTGTCTTTCACGTATTCATAGTCAGATGAGGGTTGTTTCTGATAGGACACCTTGTACTTCTTCACATACCGAGGTTTTTCTGGAGCCGGCTGCCAGCCTTGTGTGATGACACCAGTCACCACTGTACTTTCAACGAGGTCAACCTCAATCCAGCGATGGGTATCGTTTCTACAGGCAGAGTAAAAGGGAGGAACAATAAAACAACAATATTCTGCAAATCCTATAGTGTGAATGTATTTGAAAACACAATTTTCAAAACTCGTCCGTTACAGTGTTGAATTCAGTTGTACATCCGGCTCGGGAATGATGGATCTTTGGTATAAAAGCAAAACAAAGTGAAGCTCAATGTAAAACACAATAAAACAAAATGAAATTAAAAATAACAACAAAACAACGAAGTATATTTTGGTTTTGTTTAATTTCCCCCTTGGCTCACTGCACAATGGTCAACTGATCACAACAACATTTTCAAACACTGTGACCAAGTTACTTGCTTTAATAAATTTCAGTGCTTTGTTATATGATGTAAGCTGTGTAAGCATTTTGTGAAAAAGGGCGACGCTTTAGGGATTTTTTGTATTTATCATGCTGCGTTCGTAAGATATTCTAATTATCTTCATCATGACGTCACCTCAATTTACATCAATAACACATCCCTGTCCATGTACTTTCAAAATTCAACAAAATGGGCCTTGTGGTTCTCTAGATGTAGGTCATTGTAAAATGCACCTCCATGATGAAATCACGTGGCACGTGAAGGCGTCATCATCACGCCATTTGTCGAGATACAGCTTTTCTATATGGTCTATGCTTATGTTAAGTTTAATTGGTAAACAACTTTGTTCTATGCCCAAGGAAGCGGAAAACCAATCTGAGCAGGAACAAAGGTTTTCCTCAACTATGCGGAAAAGTAAAAACTCAATCTTTGTCTGTTCGATGGGCTTTTTCGCACTATGATTTGTGTATGAATGCATGTTGCACGAACATAGGTCCAGATGACCATTCATGACCCCAGATGACCATTGATGGCATCTTCACGACATCACTTGTCAAGGGCTAAATTAACCTTGGGGTCTTTGTGCGTGGTGTGAGGTCAATCTGATTGTATTTCATGTGAAATGTGCTAGTAGAAAAAATGAAACAAGCTTAGAAATTCCTTAAACAAATCAGGTGATGATGTCATCTTGACGTCACTTTGAATTACATACTAGTTACAATATCTACCTACCCACTAAGTTTCATGACGGTCGGACATACCCTTCATTTAAAAAACAAATAAAAAAACCCGCATTTTTGATACAGCCATCATGACGTCATACATTTCTCACATTTGTGTGCAAATATCTATGACCTTACAAACGTATGATAAAAGGTATTTTTAATTTAGCATGTTCTGTTGATTAGATTAGGCTTAGAGTGAAAATACTTAAAACAAAAATCAACTGACGTCATCATAAGAACTTGTACCTATAACACATCCAGGTCAACTTATCAAGTTTCAACCCAATCGGACTCACAGTTCTCTACATTAGTGTCTTAAAATAAAACATATTTACGATGTCGTCACGTGACCCGTGTTGACGTCATCATGACCTGACTCTTCAGAACTCTTCAGGAAACAAGTTAAGAAAAGTTATGTTTTATGGGAACATGACTTTGTTTTGCGGAAAAACAAAATTAACAAAAACAAAAATTGTTCACCCCATGCGGAAAGGCCATAACAATACGAATTGAAAAGCACCATTGCAATTATACATTAATTAATTAAACCGGTCCGGTGCGTTTTGTGGCATTGAAATATTGTAGAGTACATAGCGATATTAGAGTGAAGTGTCAGGTGTGATATTTCCCTTTTTATACCTACCTCGAGGGTATCCATCTGTTGTTATTGTTGAGGCGTGCCTTCCAGGCTGAATACTGAGTTTTGTGTTTACTGGACGCCGTAATGCGATCATCTTGGATTGTCCCGTCCTCCATCCCAAGAGGTTTTGGACTAGAACACTCTGTTGGTAACAAACGAGAAAACAAACGAAAATGTTACTGAAATAAAAGAATCTGATATTGTTAAATATCTGATAAATATTTCCAAGTTGTCCAAAACTATGGATTTGTTTCCTAACGGACGTCAGGATGCTTTATTTCCTTGTTTTGCAACAATAATATCAACAGGTGTTATTGTGTTGCATTACAAACTAATTTCTTACCTGCACCTTCCTCGGAAGGCTCACAGTTGAAGTAAGCTTGAATTTCGTCGGGGTCCTCACTCAGGAAAAGCTCGTCAAGGTAGTAGGGCGCCCCCTCGCAGTATGACGAAGCAGGGATGTGCATCCCACCGAGACGTATAGCGGTGCATTCGCAGGGATCTTTGTACGGTAAGAACCAACGGGGTGGGATACCAGATTGTGGGTTGTACTCCGATCCGATGAAGCAGACTTGATGGCATGAGACCATCACTAAAATGTAAGTGTGCAAGGAAAACACAACAGCATTAGCCATTTAGTACATCGGGCACAGTAGGAGTCGTTACTTTATTTGCGTAGATTTTGATAAATACCAATGACTTTTTCCCACGGTGTTGCAGTCGATTACTTTTATGTGAGTACTACTTCTGAGTAACAAGCTATCGAGAGCCACTGGCATTCGAGTTTTATGCAGTACTCAAGTAAAAACACTTAATATGTGAAGTAATGAAATCCCATGCAGACGTACGGTGACCGCATATATACATGAAGACTGAGCATGTAGTCTAGGACAAGACAAGGTCTATGTGTGGCCAAATGTTGAAGTTGATGCTGTTTACCGCTTAAGAAGAAGGAGGAATTGTTTTCGTGAAAAAAAATACAATTTTGACGTTTGATATTTTGCGTTTATTTTTGTGTATACACGCAGGGTGATAGGGCATGCAACTTTTTTCATATGACAATGTCCAGATCAGTTGCAACTATATATTTTTTATGCAAGAGCTGAAAAAGGAAAAGAGTTGCAAAGTTCAGTATTTTCGGATCATTTGGTGTTTTGATATTTCATATCGTATTTTCATATTTTCGTAACATCCTGTTGGATGACGTAGTCAGCTAAAATGTGCAAATTGAATGTTGATTGAGTTAAGACGGGATGCATGCAAATTATGAAATAATTTAAAACGTAAACATTATACGGACGCACATGAGTGTGGTTAGAATATGAACGAATTCAACGATGTTTTATAAATATTGTTTTTCCCCGGCCAATTACCGAAATTTTCTAATCATTTTCATTATCAGAAATTCAATTTCGCGTGTTTTTTCACATCTTATTAAAATTGAGTTTCTTTTCATCGTTGGGGCAAAGTCGAAATATTTGGGCCCCAAAGAGTTTTCTCCGAATATTTGTTTTAGTTTTGGGGCATAACATTTCGTCTGGTGGATTCAATACTTAATTTGAAAGCATTTTTAAATATGTTTGTGTATCTTTTGACGGTTGACGCATTCAACCCCTTCTCCAAAATGTTTTCAATGAGCATATGTTGGGTTCAAAATTTGAACAGAAAACTCCTTTAACTGAACAATGTCTTCCTCAAATGACTTCACAAAAACAGTGCTCAGTAGTCTGGATAAGCATGGAGACTTTTAAATGATTAAAGAAGTGCACTTTGCAATAAGAATGTGTCATATATAATGTTCATACTTTTAATAGGAGGAGAAAGTTGCACAAAATGTGTTCCTCAGACAAAAAAAATCAGTGCACAGGCCTTTGATTATGAAAGAGAGGTTTGCATGTACGAATTGACTGCACATGTGATTACTCTGATATATGCAGAAAGTCGTAAAAAGATGGTTGACGAAATGTGAAATATGTTTGCCCATTTATGAAAATTAATGCCCGATTAACCCCTTGCTGCTGGTTCAGATGAAATTGAAAAAAACAACACCATACTTTTAATTTTGTATTAAACAAATTACAAGGACGAGTGCAGCTAAAAGACGATAGAACGTTTGGATATTAAAATTGAATGATTCTTTTTGATTGTCGAATGACGATCTGCGTGATCTTTCAATTTCAATCTAAAATCAATGAGCCAGGCGCAGAATCGAATGCAAACTTGGTGAAATTGTCCGGGAAAACCTATAATGAATGAGAAAAGACTGATCGTTACTCGATTCCTCTCTACGATGACTTTAGGACTGACAGTGTCATCATTCTGAAACAGTGTTGTAGTTGAGACTGGATAGTCCGAGACCGAGACCAAGACCGAGACCTGAAGTTGCTAGACCGAGACCGAGACCGAGACCAGCCCCTTCATGGCGGACCGAGACCGAGACCGAAATGGTCCGAGACCGATACCGAGACCGAGACCGAGACCGCGGATGATAAATAACAATAATCTAAATAAACAACAAGACACTAATTTCAGCTGAACAGTCTGTCCTTGAGATGTTGATGTTTATGGGGATGTGAAGGAAGTGATTGAAAGTTAGGAATCACTTGTACCTGCTTAATTGTGTCATGCGAGTGCTCTTCGTGTTTGCTTCATGCCATAAATTACAACATGGCAACAGAATTTGTTATTGTCACAATCAATTAAAAAAATTGGAAACAACCTAATTTAAAGAAGGGGAAAACCTTATTTGATGAACTCCATATATTTTTGCCACTTTTTTAAAAATATATATTTTTTAAAATATTGTTTGACTACTATAAAGTGTAAATCTGATGAGAAACTCTAACTTAGGAGTACGAAAATTTGTACTAGTTTTTACAAAACTTGAATATGTTGAAACTTGACAAAAGTAAAAAGTTAAAGGTGGATGTTTCATCCGTTATAGGAACTCGGACCCTAAACTCCACAGCCACCCCTTGGTTTCAGCAATGACCACTAACGGATATTTAAATGCAACTTTAATTTAACATTGGACCACCTTGTAAACCTGATTCGAAAAAAAATTGGAGCAAGAAAATATTGATTTATTTTTTAAAATTTCAGTCATGGAATATAGATTTGTACATGTAGACCAAAAAATTGAGAGATGGTAGCCAGATATGGATTGGTCTGCCCCCCCCCATCCCTCTTTGTGATTCTCCTTCCAACCCTGCATGTTTGTGTGTCCCCTACATGTTTGTTTCTTGTTCCTCTGTCATTTACCTCTGAAGAAGGCCTGGTTAAAGCTGAAATGTAATGCCACTTTATTTTTGTAAATGTCAATAACGTTACATATACTATAGAAGATTGATGAACCATATTTGCCTGATCTATCTTCTGCCCGCCGTCATCATCGTCATTAGCCTATTTGAGAATATGGCCGACACAATAGAAGGGCGCTGTCACAAACTGAATGTGGTGGGTGAGATGTACTTTTAGGATCGGTGAGATGTACTTTTAGGATTCATGGCTCAGTGCCCACGCCTCTCTGTATTTTGTACCGTGCCATCGTGTCGCACGCATCAGCTACTTTGCTGGGCACTTTACTTGAATATTTTAGTGATTAACAAGTACGACATGTTGCCAATTTATTAATAGTTTATTGTGATGGCCGTAAACAGCATATAGCGATTAATGGAACACAATTCTTCTCGACTTATGCAAATGCAATTGACATTTAGGAAGGAGACGAGGCAGGCAATTAGACTCTATTTTTGTGCGTACAAGGCAGTAGCTCAATTTGTGTTTATCACAGATGAAAAGATTAATACATGGCGAGTCAAAGAGAAAGTGACCGTATGATAAAAAAAAATGGCACGCTCCATTTTGTAAAAAATATAATTGGGATAAAGAACATGTTATGGAGTAGTAACTGTGAACATATCACGTAATTTGCATACTGTAACGAAATATTGCTTCGCGCACTGGGCTTCCGTAGCTGCTGAGCGCTGGTACGCGGGCTGCGTTCTGTGCGGCAGTGCACGTCGCTGGTGCTCTGCGTGCAGTGTATATAAGCGCGCTGCACGTGCGTCGCGGGCGTCTTTCCGCTGCTTGCTCTTGCTCCGTGCGGACGAAAGCAAGTACGCTCTGTCGTTGCTCGCTGGCTGTTGGATTGGTGGGATTAGGCTGTACCCCGTGAACCCTGGTTGCGGGGTGAGTAGCTGCGTCTTAGGCTTATCGGTCCCGATGTCTATTGTAGTTACCCGATTGGTGATTGTTTGTGATTCTTAATTATAAAGTCCCCAAGAGATAATCATCGTTGGTGTACGAATCAACCCTGTAATTAGCGCCTATATAGGAACCTGTGAATTACCTTGAATAAATCAACCAGTTCAAGTATATAAGCCTGGTGTGGTGCATAATCTTTGACGTGTCTACCCTTGTGTGGTGAGCGTGTGTGCGTGGTGTGCAGACCTAGGCGCCTGGAGGTAGACTTCCCCCAAAACGAGTCCGCCCCTCAGGCCTCTGCGGTTACCGCTCGTCGTGGAGGCCGAAGCCCATTATTTAGTCAGCGGCAGACGCCGCCTGGTAAAGTCCGCTACAAATTGGTGTCAGAAGTGGGATAGGCGTTGGGTTTACTTCACCTGCATAGGACACATTTTACTTCACCTGCATAGGACACATTTTACTTCACCTGCATAGGACACAATCATTTTCACCTGTATAGGACACACAATATTACTTCACCTGCATAGGACAAATTAAATCAATCGCCTGTTTAGGACCTACATTAGACACTAGCGAGTTATGGAACAACAGCAGCAGCAGCAGGGGGCGGAAGGACCACAGACGGCGTCGCTGGATGAGAGGCGACGGGCTGAGGGGTTGGAGATTAGCCAACGGTCCCTTGAAGAGAGATGGCAGTTGGAGAAGTTGTATGCGCAGCTCCACTCAGAGTTAGACCAACTACGGGTGCAGTTAGGTGAAATAGATGTCAAGAGGCCACGAGTACCGGAAGGGACGATGAAGTTTGAATCACCACCTTCAAGAGGAGGGTATAATGATGATTATACCGGAAGGGCCTCGACGCTGGCGAACTATGGAGACACGGGGAGCAGTTCATCACCTACACCTGTGCCAAGGAGCAGGCCGACACCAGTTAATTCACCAGTTTCATCATCTACAGCGATGGGCGCAGTAATTGATGTCGACGGAGCAGGCGGTGAAGACATCATGAACATTGGTTCGTCGATGGAGAGGAGTTCTTCCTTGCAGCTAACAGAAAGAACGACCTACCAAATATTGTGCCGGATAGATACAACGGGAAAACCTCATGGAGAGATTTTTTGCACCACTTTGAGGCATGCAAACTTGCTAATCAATGGGATGACAAACAGGCGAAAGTTTTCTTAGCTGCCAGTCTGCAGGGGACATCCGTGAAGGTGCTGAGTAACGGACCAGCTGGTGAAGAAATGACGTATAAAGACATAAAGGACAGACTAGAAAGGAGATTTGGTCCGGGGCAGTTGTCCGAAAATCATCTAATGGAACTTCGTTGTAGGCGGCAAGGCCCGAGAGAAACCTTAAGGGAACTTGGTCAGGCGATAAGGGAGCTAGCTACACTAGCCTATCCGGAGATTGCAGACGAGGGGAAAGA